TCCCAAAGTGCTGGGATTATAGGGGTGAGCCACCACACCTGGCCTCCAGTTCTTTAAGAAAGTGCTCTTAGAGCACTCATCCTGGGCTGACAGCCTTCCCCCAGCCTCTCCTCCCACCCACAGCCCCTGTCACTCAGCCTGGCAGGGTGACCATTTAAAAATGCCAAATTACGAATCGGACTCTGGTTCCCTTGGGGTCTCTGGGATCCGGAGTAACACTGGGCCTGGAAAAGGGAGGGAGCTCACAGGCCATCTCCTTCCTGACTGGGGCGAGTTCCCCTCCGTCTCCCACACACCATCTTCACTCCACAAACACTGTGGGTGGCAGAGGGTGTCCGCCTATTTTACACATGGGAAAACCAAGGTTAGGTTAGTGGCCCAGTCACGCAGCGAGGAGAGGCAAGGCCTTAACCACAGCCCATCTGCTGGCCTTGCTCCTGTCACAGGCGGGTCTCCCGGTATGCAGGCTGCCATGGTCGAGTCTCCAGTGACCTCCTTGGGATCCCTCCAGGCCCCTTCCCTGAGGTCATGGCTGTCTCTCTCTGCCCTTGGCATGGGAGACGCAGCTCTTCTCCTGGGTGTGCCCAGGCCACCTGGGCTGGGGTCAGCACTCTCCCTGATGGAGCCCACCAGGCACCCGCCCAGTCCCTGCCAGGGGCCTGCATGCCTCCTCCTGTCCCTTTGCTGTTTTTCAGGGCCCGGTGGAGCGGCCTCACATCCAGCGTCCCTCACTTCATTTAAAAAAAAAAAATTTTATTCGGAGTTTCCCTCCGTTGCCCAGGCTGGAGTGCAGTGGCATGCTCAGGGCCACTGCTGCTTCGACCTGCTGGGCTCTGGCATCCTTCCACCTCAGCCTTCCAAGTAGCTGGAACCACAGGCGCAGGCCAGCATGCCCAGCTAATTTTTGATTTATTGTAGAGCCGAGGTCTTGCCATGTTGCCCAGTTTGGTCTTGAACCCCTGGGCTCAGGCAGTCCTCTTGCCTCGCCTCCCAAAATGCGGGGATGACAGGCATGAGCCACAGCACTCATCTCCCCACTCCCTTCTGGAACCCGTTTCGCCCTAGCAGGGCTGAGGCCTAATACCCGTGGGAAGCCATGATGTTGACCCCCTCAAGTGAAGGCCGAGTCCCCCTATTCAGAGGGGGCAGCCGAGGCTCAAGGCGCATCAGTGACATCCTCGAGGTCACCCGGGGGGTGAGTGGAGCTCGTGGCATGGGGGTCAGGTCCGTGCGACCCCAAGTCCTGGCTCCCCCCACCTCCCGGATCGCCTCCGTGAGGCAGGCCGCGTGGGGGCAGGGGCCAGCCGGCGCAGGGCGCGGCGGGAATGAGCACGGAGGACCCTCCCGGGGAACTTTTCCCATCGAAAACCCGCTCCCTCGCGGCCACGGGTGATGGATGGCTGGCGCTGATGAGAAACGAGCAGGGGGGCGGCGCGGCATTGAGATTCCGCGGGCGCGCGGGGGGCGGGGGGGGGCGGCGCGGGCCTGATACCGGCCGGGTCATTGATCTGGGGCTGCCAATTTGCAGCAACTAAATATTTGGTTTCTGCCTCGGCCCGCTCCTCGCTCTGCTCAAACACACTTCAATTAAAAGCGGGAGGGGGGTCTCGCCCGGGCCCCCACGGCCCGATCGATGGCGCGGGGCCCGCGGGCGCCCAGCGCGGCCGGGCGGGGGGC